GGTAGGTGTTGGGTGAATACTGGTAGCGCCTGGGAGCGCTGTTCTGGGCAGCGAGGGGAGGACTTGAGCACTTGCCCAGCAGGCACCCGGTCCTGATTCCATCTGCAGCATCCCGGGAAGAAAAAGGGAGGTGTGGGCTCTGAAAGCGCTGAGTGAGCTTCTGTCTTACCAGAGAGGCGAGGCCGATTCCCTGCTCCTCTGGGGGAGTTAAAGAGCACCCATCAGAACCAGGAGGAGGCCCGCGTCTGAGTGAGACCTCGCTTTCGGCTCTGCTTGCTGGGAACTGAGGCTGCCTCTGCATCACCGTTCGTCACTCAGGAGGAAAAGCAGCCCAGGATGGCCAGATAAGAGCGCAGAAGCCTGGTGTTCTTTTTTTTTTTTTCCCCATGATTTTGTTAAAATATCTAATTCTTTTTGAAAATGTTGTTTCGATGCCCTTACTTTTCCGTGGTCCGGGTCGTGCCGGCTTCTCACTGATTTTAGGGGATGTCAGCGATCCGTGTGTTTTTATAAGGCTTGCTTTGTTCTGCCTCAAAGCACAGACTAAGTATGGCCGGTGGTGTCTTGTGGACTGCTGCCGTTGTCAGTGGGGCTGGGGAGGCTTCTTGCGAGGACAGTCCAACATGAGGAGGACACCCGACCTGAGGAAGGAGGACAGCCCCACATGAGGAGTGCAGTCCCTTCCCTGGCATTTACTTATGGAGCGTGGACCAAGGCACCATTCAGAGCTGCGAAGGAATCGCTTCCGCAGGAATCAGACCAGAGGGGTCTTTCCCTTCACTGTTCCGTGGCCTGCTGTCCCTGTGTCTCCCTCTGTGTAGCTGTTGGCAGGTCTGTGGAAAGAAGCAAACCCATGACATGCAGCTTTTTCTGTCTGTGATATGGAATCACAAGTGGACGTGCACACTGACGGCCGTGGGCTGACGCGGCGTGCCTGCTACATGGCCATGCTGACACGGGAACAGTGCCATGTGCTTTGAGGAGTGTGATGGGGCACCCTGTGCCATTTCCTGTGGCCCTGGCAAGTTACAAAAGCCTGGGTGTTTCCTCAGTTTCCTTAGGAGGAAACATAAAGGTTAAAAGAGGAGCAAGACCCTCAGGCCATCCAGTGGCTTCTGAACCAAAGTGTGGGGTTTTCTCCCTGGAGGTTGGGTGGTGGGCTGTTGTGGGGCCAGGGAAGGTCAGGGACACCATCTGTCTAGGGCAGAGACCAACCCCTCATGAGATGCTGAAGTCCTCCGCCTTGGACCCACAGCCAGCTCCATGAGAGGATTTCCTTACCCTCCCTGGCCTGCCCTTCCCACGTCCTGCTCTCCACAGCAGGGCACTAGGAACTAGCCAGGCCTTGGAAAGAGGGGGAGCAGTGGGTACCCCAGAGCAAGGCCCTGCCCACCCCAGCCGTCCCCTTCTCTCAGCAGCAGGCCGGGCCCAGCGAGTCTGGGAAGAGGTCTGATTTGGATGCGCAGTGTGTTTGGAGCCCGACAGGTGTGTTTTAGCAGCCTGAAGGGATGAAGCTGCCCAAGACTCTGTCCAGGGACTGAGGGAGCTGGCGTGGAATGATTGGACGGAGCGGTTAGAGGACAGGAAGTGCTTCACACTTTGCCCCAATGAGCTGAGGATTCTCAGTGAGGAACTTGGGTTCTTGTCTGGTCTCTCCTAACCTCTGTCCTCTGATGCCCCGTCCTCTTCTCCAATGCTGAAGTTCCCTTCCGAGGCCCTCTTCTCAGACAGCCCTGTAGCACCATCTAGAAAACTGAGAAGCCAAAAGGTGGGGGTTCCTCGGCACCACAAAGTGGCGCATACCTCTTCTGGACTTTTAGAAGCAAATGTCCTGTTCCCCTGGGAGTTGTGGCCCCAGGAATCCAGGACCCAAGACTGCCTATCACCAAGTAAGTTTGTTCTGTTAGAGAATTCACAGAACAGGAGGGAGGATCAGAGACAGAGCAGCCATTCCCCAGGAGTGAGGAGCCTCTGACCTACATCATGCGTAGCAGGAAGGACCTGCCAGCAGATGCTGCAGAGCTGGGCAGGCACACGGGACTGCCTGGACAGAGCACGTCCTCCACGGCACTGAGTATTTACTGCTTCATTATAATCTGGTGGTTTTACCAGCTGTCTTGTGTTAAACTTGGATCTGGCACTTCTCGGACGAACTGCTGACTCCCCAGTTCTCTGCTTGTACTATCAGTGACTGCAGCAAATCAAGAATATTAGGGGGCTGGGCGCAGTGGCACACGCCTGTAATCCCACTGTTTGGGAGATTGAGACAGGAGGATCGTGGCAAAGCAGCCTCAACAGCAAGGTGCTAAGCAACTCAATGAGACCCTGTCTCTAAATAAATACAAAATAGGGCTGGGGATGTGGCTCAGGGGTTGAGTGCCCCTGAGTTCAATCCCTGGTACCAAAAAAGAAAAAAAAAAAGAATATTAGGTAAGAAAGAATGAATAATCCTCCTGACCATAAGATGAAATAGTCTGTTATTTTAAAAAAAATTAGTAGGAAAAAATCAGAGATTATGTCATAGGAATGGACAAGGTCCACAATCCCCCTGATTGACCTTTGTGTTGCCCAGGCATCTGAAAAATCTGATCCTCAAAGACCAGCCTGACCGATCTTCCCCAGTGAGGAGGCTCAGGCACAGTGGAAGAGTCCCTCCTGGGTGCTGGCCCCTGCCAACTGCTGTACCAGCAGAACCCAGCTCTGTCTCTGAGCTCCGTTTCCCACTGGGGAAGACCAGGTCTTTTTTGGAGAAAAAGCCCAAGAGGACAGAGAACAGGAAGTGCACGCCAAGTGTGGGGTAGCGCTTATCCCAGAAAACAAGGAAGCCTTTGAAGACTAAGCCTATTAAGAGCTCACAGAATCAATAAACAACTGGTCTGTACCCTCCAAAATGCCAAGATCATGAACAGCAAATCTGGTGGAAGGTTCCAGACTGAGGGAGGTTGGAGAGAGCCAGGTGAAGTGTAAATCGGGATCAGTTCCTGGAGCAGATTGGTTTTTCAACAAAGAACACTGGCAAGTCTTCCCCACGATTAGATGACAGACTTCTGCATGTTGATTTCCAAATGTTCACTGTGGTGAGGTCCTGTTCGTAGGCACACAGGCCACAGCACTTCCAGGCAAAGGGGCACCATCTCAGGTCACTTAGTGCTGCATGAACAGAATTTATAAACAAGAGACGTTTACTTGGCTCAAGGTCTGGAGGCTACAAAGTTCTGGATGTGTGGAGGGGCCACATCTAGTGAGGGCTGCTTATCGCATTGAAGCATGGTGAGAGAGCATGCCTGTGCGTGAGAAGGAAGGGGCCCAGATTAACTCCAGCATCTACTAACCCAGTCCTGGATGGTGACCTTAATCCAATGAGGGCAGAGCCCTTCTGCCCTAATCTCTTCTGAAAGGCCCCACCCCTCACACCCAGGGGTGGAGGAGGAGGCTTCTGACTCTGCACCTCAGGAGTAAGTTCAAGCCATCTCAGGCACTCTTGGATGCTTAGATCTAAGCACGGATTGTACACTGGGAGAGGAAATGGTGAAATCAGTGTGGAGTGCGAACAGTCGAGGAACTGGTGGGAGCTGCACGGAGTCCTTCACACTGTGCTCGCAACTTTTCTGTCTAAATAAGGTCCAACATTGTTTTCACATTTAAAAAATTACCAGAGGAGAAAAGAAGTCCATAGGAACCCACATAAAATCCTATTCTTTTCCTTTACAGATAGCTTTGTAAGACCACATAACTGATCAGGGAAAGTGCTTCATAGAATTCCAGCTAAAAGCAGCAGGAATAAGAGCTAGCTATTGTCCCGCCAACCATGGCTGTCAGGAATGCTGACGAGGAGATGGAGCTGCAGTCTAAGGAGGGACCTGGCTGGCATTGCAGACTCCCCAAGCCAGTCCTGGGTCACTGCATTCGGTACACCAATGGGGCCCTCTTTTTGTGAACGTGCTATGCCATTAATACAGACCACACACATTTGTGTCTTTCTAAAATTTCAGTTTATTGAATAAATCACAGACTATACCACTTTCATTGGTGGCAGTTCTTCGAATACTGGTGTGTCACCTGGTAGTCACAAACTAGGCAAACACAGGTTCTTTTACTCCAACCTTAATTTCTAATATCTACAGCTTAAACCACACTTTACACAGATCGATAGATAGACGTAGATGTCACTGGATCTTGGTTACAGAAAGGCTAGGAAGGGCTCAGGCAGCCCCAGGGTCCAGGAGGCTGGAGGAAGAGCAAGGCACAGAGCAGATATGGATGCAAAAAGTTAAGCAGTTGGGCTGGGGCTGGGGCTGGGGCTTAGCAGTAGAGCACTCGCCTAGCACGTGCCACGCGTTGAGTTTGATCCTCAGCACCACATAAAAATAAAAAAAATAAAGGTATTGTGTCCAACTAAAACAAAATATTAAAAAAACAAAAGTCACTGCAGCTGGATGTGGTGGAACATGCCTGGAATACCAGTGGCTTGGGAGGCTGCGGCAGGAGGGTTGAAAGTTCAGAGCCAGCCTCAGCAACTTAGCGAGACACTAAGCAACTCAGTGAGACCCTGTCTCTAAATAAAATACAAAAAAGGGCTGGGGATGTGGCTCAGTGTTTGAGTGTCCCTGATTTCAATCCCTGGTACCAAAAAAAAAAAAAAGAAAAGAAAAGCCACTGTAGGTGGTCAGCTGGGATTGAGAAGCTCCTTTACAACTGGTGTAGGACACAGAGCTGTCAAAGCATAGGAACTTGTTCTAGGCCAAGGTCGGATGGACAGCAGTTTCAGAGTGTCAGTTCGCGGTATCCTCTTGGAGTGGGTTGTGCATGGTCATCAGGGGCAGGAGAAACCACGGGCTACTGAAATCCAGTGGGACCAGAAATCAGAAATTGGTCACTGTGGTGATTTCCCTAGGCAAGGTTTGTGATGAGTGACCTGGAGATGGGGTCAGGGTGCTGCTGTGTCCAATCTTGGGCATTTTCTCTTTTATAGAGAAAAAAAGGCTTCAAATGAAGTCCTGGTGTGTTGGATGAGCTGGTGGGCCTACTTTTTCTCATAGGGATTTTTTTTGTGTGTGTATGTGGTGCTAGGAATCGAACCCAGGGCCTTGTGCATGCGAGGCAAGCACTCTACCAACTGAGCTGTATCCCCCGCCTTCCCATAGGAGTTCGATATGCACATGTATCCATGTGCTTCTAATTAATTTGATAAATTCATGGGTGGTCATTTTTATAAGCATGATTCATTTACTTCTCAGTCTGTGCCTTCTGGTTGTGCCAGGCAGATGATGGCTATTTACTTGTACAAACCAAGTGTAGAGTTACTCCTCAGCACTTAAACTCAAAATAGAGTAGCTTATGGCAAACACTGCTTTTCGAAATGAAGTACCCCAGGGTTCGGCACAGCCTGACCATCTGCTGGTCTATAGGTCACAGAGTAACTCGGAGCAGGGCACAGCCTGCTCCCCACACTACGAAGAATTGTGGCCTCAAAACTGTGCGCTGGATAAATCCAGCCTTCAGTGCTAAATGTACAGAAAATATAGGTCATGGGCGAGCAGGGAAGGCTGTGCCTGAGGACACCATCAGCCCATCCAGAGGGGGAGTATTCTAGATTCAGTGTCACTAGGAAAGGGAGAGAGAGGCCGAGATAGAGGTGTGCCACCACCTCACCAACTACAATGTGTGGCTCTTGCTTGGGTTTTGATTTGAACAAACGCACTCAAGACACTCACAAATGAGATGATCTTAAGGAATTGATACTTTCATCCGTTCATCTGTAATCAGGGTGTGGGCAATGGTATGGTGATTGTTTTCAAACTGCTTTTATTAGATTCATAATGATGTATTTATAGGAAAAATGACATGACGTCTTACATGTGGCCTCAGAAGCCCCAGGAGAGGCTGGGGAGATGGAAGGAGGCAGTTGAAGCCAAGTGGTGAGTGTGTGGGGTTTTATGACAAGATTCCCTTTGCTCTTGTGTATGTTTCAAATTTTCCATATAAAAATTTTAAAGCAGTCCCTAACGATCTATTTCTAAATCCTATAACTTATTACATTAAACAGTAAGTAAATAAAAAACTCACAAGGAAATATTTAGAAAGTGCCCAGCCTTAGACAGATGGGAAGCCCAGCGTGAGGAATTATCCACTTGAGCTATAGCCAAACCAAATGTTTGCATTCTCTGTCCGTTCATCTGTAATCAGGGTGTGGGCATTCAGGTTACAGGTGTGATTCGGAGCCTCTGTGACCTTGGTACTGCCTGTACCCCAAATTTATGGCCTAAGATCTTCCATGATCACCATATCACGTGTGATAACTTATAGCCCCACAACTGAAATTAGTTAAGTAAAATAAGTCTCAAACCATGGAATTGAAACAATTAAAATCATACCCCCAAAAACAAAAATTAAATTTCATTATTTTGCCAGGCATGGTGGCACATTCCTGTCATCCTAGCTACTCAGGAGACTGAGGTAGGGACATCACCAGTCTGAGGCCAGCCTGGGCAACTTAATATGAGTCCCTGTGTCAAAATAAAAAAATAACTCAGCACCTCTGGGTTCCCTTCCAACGCCACAGATTTCATTATTTCAAACCTCTGATTCTACCCCTTTTCTCCCACCAGTCAAGAATTTAGGAAAACCACAGTGAGGCCTTCCCTGGTCCTAGCCCGATGGGCTGGTGTCTGCTTTGAGCCTCTCTCCTGAGACAGGCCAGTCATCAGGAGGGGAGTGTAGTGAGTGGCCCTACCTTCCCTGCTAAGGGGAAAGAAACGTCACTGGCAAGATTTCCAGCCTACATCGTAGCTTTATAAAGTCAACACGAGGCCTCGAGGATGGGACGACCTCTGCCTGACCTTCCTTTAATACACATGCCCGGTTTCTCTTGGTCACTTGCCTGAATTCTTTTCAGAGATCAGGAGCACAAATGTGTGATGAAGACACTAGTAGTTTGCCCCAGGTCCCAGCCCCCTTCCCGAGCCAGCTGTGTCCTGTGGCCCATGTGGAGTTTCCAGGCCTTCAGGATGTCCTTGGAGCTCCGAGCTCCCCCCTTCAGTGTAGGGACCAGTGAGCCTCCCCGTGTTCTTATCTGTGAATCCAGGCAACAACAGTTAGGGATGTCATCATTTCATGTGGCTCCCAGATCTTCACCCCCAGCTTCTGGAGCGCTGCTGTCTGCAGCTTTCCACTGCCAACCCCTGCAGGAGGCCGCTGCCTCTGGGGAGAGCAGAGCTGAGGGCAACTCAGAGCCCCTCGGACCAGCTGGGGCCTCTGCTGAGGCCAGGGCTGCAGGGCAACTCAACTCCTGCTGTGTGGGCCCTGCTCCTCCCCAGTAGACCTCCTTAGAGAGCTGGCTTCCCGGGCCCCTGACCTCCACAGCCATGTTTCTTATAAGATTGAACTATGTAGGACATGAAGTTTGTATCAGAGCAGGCACTAGTTGTCTTACACACCCAAGGCAGTTTTTCTTTTCTCTCATGGTTACAGATTAAAAAAAAAAAAAACAAAAAAATCCTCTCAAAAGATCAAGAGGAGAGACTGTAGTATGTGCTCATGTTGCCACCTCATCTTTTCTCGGTTATACACATATATATGTGTGTATACGTGTCTGTGTGTATGACACGCGTTTATTGAGATACAATTCATACACATATGATTCATGTATTTGAAGTGTGCGACTCATTGGCTTCTAGTATATTCAGAATTGTGCAACCATCACTAGTTTTAGAACACTTCCATTGCTCCCCACGGAGAGACCTTGTACCCACTAGCAGTCACTTCTCTTCCTCCACTCCACCTCAACACCCATGGGCTTTCTTTCTCTGTAGACCTGCGTATTCCAGACAGTTCATGTACAGTAAATGGAATCTACCATATGTGGTCTCTGTGTCTTCTCCCCTTCGCATGCTTTCAAGGCTCACCCATGTTGCAGCCCATGTCATGGCTTCATTCCTTTTCATTGGTGAATAATTTTCCTTTGTGTGGATATATCACATTGTGTTTATCTGTTCAGTAGCTGAGAGACAACTTGAGTTGTTTCCACTTTGGGGCTATTGTGAATAATGGTGCTGTGAATGTTTGTGTATTAGTTTGTGTGGACATGTCATCATTTCTGTTGAGTACCTAAGAGTGGGACTGCTGTGTCATTTAGTAACTCTGTTTAACTTTGAAGCAGCTGTCACTGCTTCCCAAATCAGCTGTACCACTTTCCAAACCCATCAAGAGCAAGCGAGAGCTCCAATTTCTCCACATTCACCAGTACTTTGTCTTTTTTATAATCTTCATCCATGGGTGTGAAGCTGTGGCTCATTGTTGTAGTTCTGATTAGCATATGACTTACATGTTGGGCACTTTTATGTGCATATAGGTCATTTGAGTATCTTTTTTAGAGAAATGTCTATTTAAATCCTTTGTTCATTGTAAAACATCGGGTTATCATTCATATATATATATGTTTGTTTTCTTTTGCAGGGGGATATTGGCTCCTTACAGAGTAGTTGTAAAGATTAAGGGAAGAACACCTGCAAGACACACGGTACAGTGCTCTCTGCCTTTAACACAGACTCCAAAGTCAATGAACCTTCCTGTGGCCTTGAAAGCACGCCAGCTCGGGTTGGCCCTGCATGACATCACCGGGCGCAGCGCCGGGCCTGAAGACAGGCTCCATTAACGTCTGGAGTATAAAAGCTCCGACTCACACCCCGATATTCACCCGAATCCACTGTGCCTTGCCCTCTTTCTTCCACTCCTCTCATTAAATCCTTTCTTCCTGGATCAGTTCTCTTAATTCTCCTCCCCTTGCAGCTGCTTCCTCTCTGAACTGGAGGCGAGTCTGGGAACTAGACACCACCTATCAGTTGTGAGGTGAATGTGATCAAGCCTGCAGGAGCTGAATGTCCCATTTTGGAGCGTCACAAAAAGTAATCAAAGTCCTTAAAGGAGTGAGGCCAAAGACAAGAACCCTGATTGCCGCCGGGCAGCTTCACGGAGCGCCGAGGCCCTGCCTGGGGCTGTTTGGTGGCCTGCCCGGGACCCGGCGCCTCCCGCGGGCCACACCTGGGCCACGAGTCGGGGGCGAGTCCGACCTCGTGTCGCTCGGAGCTGCCGCTGCGCTCGCGCTTGGCGAGGCCCCGGGAGCGCGCAGGGACTGCAGGCTCGCCGCCCGCGGACCGACAGGGTGGACACCGCCGGGGCTGTGAGGGTGTCCAGCACGGCCCCTGGGGCGCTCAGGCAGCACAGGCCGACTGTCCCGCCGGCGGGGAGCCGCCCAGCACGCACCCGCCAGGGGCGGCGACACGGGACCGCGCCGCGCGGCCCCGGCGCCGGCGAGGGCCTGCTGTGGGCGGGATCGGCCAGGCCGCGCTGCTCATTGGACGGCGGCTCCTGTCAGTCACAGAGAAAGCGGGGGTGGGCCTTGGTGTGGCCCATCCGGGCCTTTCCACCGTGGCCGGGGGCGGGCTGGAGAGGGCAATGTCCAATGACAGTCTCGGCCGGGGCCTCGCGGCAGGTGGGCAGGTGGCGAGCCGCTCGGGGTGGGCCGGTCTCTCCGAGGGCGGGCGCCGCGCGGGTCCGCGTGGTCACCACGAGCCGGTGTCACAACTGGCGTGGTGGCCCCAGGAAGGCCCGACTGGGCAGCCTTTCCCAGAGTGGACCGGTGTCTCCCTAGTGCGGCGTCCCTCCGCCGTGCAGGAGTAGGTGCTGGCCCCAGCGACGGCTGGACAATCCAGAAAGGGCCTTTCTGGGAAAAGCTAAAGTGGGTCGTCCCCTAAAGCAGGCGGTTTTACAGCGGGTCTGGGTAGGGGAGCACAAGGCCCCTGAACGTTGGCATGGGGCGTCCAGTCTTCAGAGTGGAAGAAGGCAGGTGACAACCACCGAGCTCCTGGCCGTCAGAGGCAAAGGTCCTAGTTTGACATTTCCTGTTAAGGAAGGTGCAGAAATAGGTGCAGTCCCACAGAGGGACCTTTGACCTTGCAAACCCCTGTTTTACTGAAAACCTGAAAAACCCGGGAAAGTCTGGCACTGGGAAGAAGCGGCCTTGGAGACTGCCACAGTCTGGCTGGGCACAAATCAGGAGCCACTGAAGCAGGAACAAACTTTATTTCTGAACTCCACCAGCACACTCCACACACACGCTCCCGGGAACTCTCCCAAACGCCAGGCGGCTCCTCCAGGAACCACCAACCGGAAATCCCTCCTCCAGCACTTCCCCAACCAATGCGAACTCTTCAGGAATCATTCCCCCCCCCCCCCCCCCCAGAACTCAAAAGTCGTCATCTTAATGGCTTGCTGGCCTCACCTCTCAACCACTACTTCTGGCAAAAATGCCATGCATCATCCCGACTCCGCTGTGGCCCTCAACAACTTTGACCTGGCAAACTCCTGTGTTACTGAAAAACCGGAAAAACCCAGGAAAGTCTGGCACTGGCAAGAAGCGGCCTTGGAGACAAGCAGAGCACCAGGCAGGCTCAGCGAGTCCGAGTCCACTTCCCCCCTTGGCCCTCGGTGTCTTTTACGCCCTACAGACTCCAGGGTTCAAGGCTTCCTCAGGCACATGACCTTGACTTCTCCCCCTCTTCAGGCAGCGCTGGTCCTGCTGCTGCTGCAAAGCACGAAGCACTCCATTGCAGAGCCAGCAGGTTGCAGTTAGCGTCAGACACGCCGGACGACTTGGGAAGGGTGGCAATTTCAGGAGGAGCCCTCTCCCAAAACCCACTTCCACAGATGTCCGACAGCCGGGCCCAGAGTTCCCCCAGGGTTTTCCGAGTTAGCAAAAGACTAGAAACAAGATGTCTGTTAGAAAGGCTGAGTACACTGGGCTCAGGCACTTAGAAGAACGAGGAAGGTGGAGGGTTTTCTAAGTGATAGGTCTCTGCAGGCTTTTTACCATAACAGAAAGAAACGCAGGAAGCATAAAGCCCAGCTGATAAAGTTGGTTACTCAAGGAGAGAAGAGGTGTTGGTGTTGGTGATGGTGATGGAGAATGTGCTGGAAGCCCTCGAGGGAAAACAGAAAAGGAAAAAAAAAGTGTCACACATCTGGTCCAGTTGTGCCAAGGCAGTGGGATAGGTTGCCAAGAGACCAAACAAAGCAGTCCTATCCTCGACAATGCGTGAGGCACAGGGCTTTATTGAGAAATGTTATGGGGAAGGTCCAGTGGAGGGAGACAGACAGCACTTCTGCCCCCCACGGTGCTTCACCCAGCAAGGCCTCCTCTCTATGGTGGTGGTGTCTATGGAGGCCAGCTGGGTGAGAGACGTGCAACCTTGCCACAGTGCCCCAGGTCTGCCCTGTGGGCACTTAGGGGTTTTTGGTGAGGCTGCGGAAGCAGGGACAGCATCGTCACCAGCTGGCTCTGTGAGCTTGTCTGAGCAGAGTCCCAAGGAGCGAGCGCCCTGGTGCACGCGAGAAGCGTCTTTCCACAGATAACCTGGCTCGCCCTGGTTCCCAGTGTGCATGAGGGAAGGCCAGCGTCCTTCAAGATGGTGTCTGGACATCCTGGCCCAGGCCTGCTCTCAGTGTCCCCTTAACTTGGGTTTTGGAGATGGAGAGGGGTATATGGTGTTTTATTGTCCCTCAGGTATATGGTGTTTTATTGTCCCTCTTTCTTTAAGGATGATATAATGACAATAATAAACCAAGAACAAAACAAAACTGAGACAATTGGCCATTATTCTTGTGGGGCTCAGCAGTAGACCCAGAAAGACCCTGCCTCGGGGTATTATAATTGGCAATGTCATTGAATGGGCTAACACCCTGCCCCTCCCTCACCGCTGCAAGGGGAGGAGAAGGGAAACAACTTATTGACCACTTTCCCTGTGGTGAGAAGTGGAGGCTAGACATGAGCCAGGCAAGATGGCAGGCCTGCTGATGGCTGTGGGTCTACCTGGGCCATCTGTCTTGCATCCCTCGCTGCTGCTTTTCAGCAGTGCCTGGCTCCACGTGACTGACCCTGTTGCCTTCAGAAGGCACGAGGCCTGCTCTGCCCAGACCTGGCCATGATTCCCGATGAAGTCTGTCACGTGCTCCTCCTTCCAGGCCCAGAGTATAACTCAGGCTTTGTCGTACTCGAAGGACAAGCAGGTCCTTTGGACGACAACTTGGTATTATGATCAACTTGGGAAGAAGAGGATGATCTCAAAGCATTTGTTCTTACTAAAATTATTTACATTTTCAAGTTTTAAAAAATCGAAAACCAGTACAGATGATCCAGGGTGGGGTGGGGAGGAGCATGGGAGTTCACGGCAACACCGCCCTCAGCTTGGGTGACTTCCACATGGCCACCAGAAAAGGTGACTATTTTTAGTACCGGGAATGAGCAGCCAGCTAATTCTGTCCAGTGATGGAGGCACAGTGGAGATGGAGGAAAGAAAGTCCTGAAAGTGTCTAGCAAGCATGGTTTGGTAGACCCTCTGGATGGTCATGTGTTCAGAGGATGCTGCCCCCAGCCCCAAGCTCCAGGTGTCAACCAACCACAGTGGTCCCATCTCCTCCCCCATGGTAGGCAGAATCATGAGCACATGACGTATTCTGACCAGTTGGGACCTGAAGAGAGGTGGGAAAGGCATCTTGTCTCCTATTCCTAGAGACAAGCAAGAGGTAGCCCCTCTCCTTCTCCTGTCGGCCTGATTCTGAACCCAGTGCAGATGCGTGATGAGTGACAGGTCCTGCCATGTGTTGTGTGCATGTGCCAGCCTGGGACAGGTCCAGAGCAGGGTGAAGGGAGAGACCTGTCCTCTCAGTCCAGACCCACAGTCCTGGAGAGTTTGATTGGGGTTGGCTTCTTGGCTGCTGTGGCTCTGGGACCCCTGGTAGTGACATCCTGCTATGTTCTGCCATGGCCTGGAGCATGGCATCTTCCCTGTTTGCCGCCCTGTGTTTCTGGCTCCCCCACCTCTTGCTGTCGGTGGTCCTTAATGTTATTTAGTGTTGTTCTTCCTGACATTTGTGAACAAATAGTGGTTTCAGTTTACAGGGTGGGATGTTAAAGTTGTGTGTTTCATTCTTGGTATTGACTCCACAGAGCATTGAAGAATGGATTCTGAGGCTGACAGTTCATTCTTCTTCTTCTTTTTTTTTAAGTTGGACGCCATACCTTTATTTTTATTTATTTATTTATTTTTATGTGACGCTGAGGATCGAACCCAGCGCCTCAGATGTGCTAGTCGAGCGCTCCACTGCTGAGTCCCAGCCCCAGCCCTGACGGTACATTCTTACGACAACAACACCTTGATTCTTCTGCGCCCCAGCTACACTGGGATCCGTGGGACATATGTGTGCCGGGTTGAAATAGGCTTAATTTCAAGACTTTTCTAGCCACTGAGTTTCCTAGAGGGAAGAGCATCCTTCCCAGACCTGAGCCTCAGCATCACAGGTGGGCTGATGAGCACGTCTCAGACGAGGTGGCGTAAGTGATGTGACTAGGAACCATTTATCTGGAGGTGGCTTTGGAGCCACCCAGCAGGTGGAACAAGCCAGTCAGTGGTGTTTCCACGCGGCACCTACGGCCTGGTGTGGGTGCGAGTGCAGACCCCATGCCCTGGGAGGGGAAGCACATTGGGCATTTCTGACGCTGGCTTCAGGTGCCCACTGGGCCCCTCCCAGACCTTCCAGGAACCCTGACACCACAGCTTTTGATGTGGCCTGTCCGTAGCACCCATCCCCTCTCCCTTCAGCATGGAGTCCTGATGAGGCTGTTGCCCCTCACCCTCTGGATGCTCATGTGTTCAGAGGATGCTACCCCCAGCCCCAAGCTCCAGGTGTCAACCGACCACAGTGGTCCCATCTCCCCCCCCCCCCATGGTAGGCGGAATCATGAGCACATGACATATTCTGACCAGTTGGGACCTGAAGAGAGGTGGGAAAGGCATCTGTCTCCTATTCCTAGAGACAAGCAAGAGGTAGCCCTTCTCCTGCTTCTGGACCTCCTACGGATGTTGCCACCATGAGGAAAGCTGGTATGCAACAAGAATCACAAGGTGGGGACCCCGAGTGGGGGGAATGCAGCTGGAGGCTGACCATCCTGGGCCAGCGGCTGCTCTTCCGGTGGACTTCTCTCATTTAACCAGCTGAGCTGGAGTTTTCTCTGCTGTTGAGCATCTGAGGTGCTACAAGTGTAGGAAAGTTCCTTCCTTATGCTTTTCCCCAGCCATGAGGATTTGACTCACTCACAGGAGGCACTCCTGCTTGGTCTAATCAGAAAAGAGGGGCCAAGAGTGAGAGGAGGAGAGGGGACGGGCAGCAGAGCCGCAGCATATGGGTTTTGCAGCACAGCCTCGGGAGAGAGCGGGAAACCTAAGCCTCCCCCTGCCACGGACATGCGTCGGGGGACAGGGAAGGGGACCTGAAAAGGAGCAAAGGATTCCCAGGTCATAGAAAGCACTCACAGATACAGATAAGAATAAGTTTTTAAAAGGAAAAAAGCATTAATGATAAAACGAAGGTAACTGAAGAGGAGCACCAGCGTTTGCCCTAACAGGCGGCTCGGAGCCCGCGCCCTCAGCAGAGAAGCAAGGGAAGAAGCACAGCAGGAGAGGGTCCCCGAAAAATGGCCAGTTTCTGGGCATGTGCTCTCCCATGGAGCCACATCTGAGCGCACAAGAGAGAGTTAGCTCTCCTCCCACGGCTACTGAGCTGGGTGTGTGAAACGGCGCTGCTCCTTGAACTTAGGTGCTAGTTCAGTTTTATTTTAGCAAATAAAGAAACCGAGAGCTTTAGGCCACTCCTTGGCATGCCCTCCATAACTCAGCTGCTCCACGGCTGCGCGTGTTCCTGCCAGTGGTGTGAGAAGCAGGACCCCTGGGCGCCAAGCAGCCACCACTGCCCTGCCATCATCACCGACATTCACCTCTCCCGGAACCAGGCGCTCCCCCTGGTGTCCCAGGCATGGTTCCCACAGGATCACTTGGCATCTTCCCAGCTCTTTCTGATGAGGGTCTCCTTCTCTGTAGAGGCCTCCCCATCCTGGAAAGGGGTGTGTGTGTCAGGGAGCACGCTGCCTTGTTTCTGCAGTGCTGGGCATCTGGCCTGCGCTGGGCATGTGCTCTCCCATGGAGCCCCATCTGTGCCCCATCCGCAGCCCCACATCCTGCTGGCCATCTGGCCTGTGCTGGGCACGTGCTCTCCCATGGAGCCACATCTGAGCCACATCCATAGCCCCACGTTGCAGACTTTATCCTCCTATCTATCTGCAGTGTCCTGTACGGTTCTCGCTGTATTATGTGTTCTCAAGTCTCAATTATATTTAAAGTAAGTTTCTGCCTCAATGAGCGAAACCCTTAGAGGAGACTAATTCCAATACCACTGTCTCAGCCCAGGGATCCCAGGGTGAAAGTTGGGTCTTTGAATTCGTTGTTTTGCCTAAGCACACTCCCCTACTGCCTGACCACACGACAGGAACTTCCAGAAATCCTTCTAAGGTACAGCGAGGCTGTTTGTCGTGTTATTAGAGGAGACACCCCAGCAGCAGGAACGGCTGTGACTCTTCCCCACAGCACCCTGAATTCTCTCCACACCATGTGCGGGGCGCTGAGTGTGGAGCCTTAGAGTCAGGGCTTCGGGACCACTGGCCTGGGCCTGGTGGGAGGCTGCACTGTCTTGGAAGATGACCCATGTGACAGCAGGAACCTCACCAGCAAGCAGAAGCCACAGGGGTAGGGGTTTCTTCCTTGGAAGAAAACAAGGCTGATTCCTCTAAGATGATATACAACTGGCAAGAACTGAGCAAATCTGCATCTAATATACTTCTGCACCTACGTTCTAAGACAAAGTTAAGCTACAAAAGTCTGAAAGTAGCAAATATGTGGGCCAAGGGTCAGGGAATGGCCTGGCACTGTGTCCAGGACACCCTGTGTCACATGGTGCTGGCGACCTGGTCTGCAGTGAGGGCTACATGTCGTAGAGCCGGAGTTGCTCCTGCACGTCGCCGTCGGACATCTCACCAAACGTCTCCTTGTTGTCCTTCATGAGCTTGAAGATGGCAGCCAGCTGCTCTTTCTGAACTCTGTCGAGAAGAAAGGACAAGAGGAAAAAGATGCTTCCAACCCAGGGGGGGGGGCAGGGAAGAGACCACCGGGAGCAGTTAGTGGGGTGGGACTGACCTCGCCCGTTGGTTACTGCCTTTGCTTTTTCAGAATGAGAAAACTAAAACCAAACTCTCCTAAAACGCAGGAGCTGGCTTGCTCCAGCTGCTCCACGCAGGCATTCTAGGTCTTGGGCTTGCTGCAGAGGTCTGGGGCCCCAAGTGTCACATAGGTTCACCGTCCTCAGTTTCCCCGTGGTCCTCAATTTCTAGTTGACTTTGCAGCTCACAGAGGCAAGGAGGAAGAGAACTGCTCCCTTAGGTAAGGAGAGCTTGGTTTGGGGGGAGCCAACAGAGAAGGAAGGAAGACAGCTGGCCGGGAAACGGGCACATCCAGATGTGCATGCAGGAGAGCTGGGCAGGGGGCAGCAGCAGGGGCAGCTGGCATTGTCCCTCGGGATTCCCCTACACAGGAAAGCGCTGCATTTTCTTTTTATGACCTCCCTTTTCTACCTTGCACAAAGATGCCCTATGGCCTGCAGCGGCCCTGCCCCTCTTACCAGGGGAGGGCATGGGTGAAGATTAGCCTCAGTGTTTGCAAGCCGTGCTGTTGTTATCTTCTGAGGCTCGGCCACACATCAGACCAGCACAGGGCAACTCCCACAGCAAACACGAGACCGGTGAGGCTGAGCAGGAGCCCGGGACCGCGTGGTTCTTGTTCTGCTGCCCTTGCCTGCCAGCATGGATGGCCACTGCAGCTTGGTTCTGTCTACTCCAGTTTCTGGCTTCTGCTGCCCCTGCCCTCCACACCACTGGCCCGGCACCTTGAGAGGATGTAGCCATACTTCAGGCCTGGACCTCCCAGCCCTGCCCTGGAAGGGTTCTGCTACATCGTGGGTCCTCCAGGGTGCAGGCTTCAGCAAGCTTCCGGGCCACCAGCCTCCTGCAGGGTGGTCTCTGGGCCCGGCCTTACACTTACAGAATACACTCCTTCTGCCATAACCCTGCCCTCCTCAGCCCTGTCTCTTCCCCTGAGCAGTTGGATTTTAGCAGTTGGATGACCGCAATCCCAAACCCCAGCCTCTTTTGTCTGGGAAATTTGCATCTATAGTCAGTTCTGGGAAGGGGCCTATCATAGGGACTTCGTACACTTCTGCACAAGGAAAGAGGTGCCAGGCACTGACAGGGAGTGTGGGGCGGAGTGCCTTGGACGGTCAGTCAGATGTGGACATCTCCCCAAATCAACAAGAGTCAACTTCATGTGGCTTTGGTGGCTATGACAGTTGTGTTTTTAACAGGGTAAAGGCTTCAAAATGAAAGAGTTAAAATAACCAGTTCCAAAGAGATTATTTAGATTATGTTTTTAAAACAAAGCAAACCAAAAAAACACACAGTAACTGAGATCACATCCTCAAAGTTTATTGGGCTGGGTGAGGGCTGAGTTCAGAGAGCCAGGCTGTCGGGTGCTCGTCGGTGCTGCCTAGGAGCCTGTCCAGACAGGGCTGGGCACCTGTGCCTGGAGGAGTCCCCACTGAGTATCAGATACTGCCCTGTAGGAACTTGTGGGGCATCTTGCCCATGTCCATGGCTCTGTGCCGAAGGCACCAACTGTGGCTGTGGCTCTGTTGCTGTCCTGCACCTACGGTAGCAGGCCAGGGAAGGCCGTAGGAACGCACTCCCTGAAGCTGGGACTGGACGTTCCTGGCCTTCCACCCCGTGGAAAGTTTTCATGTAAAACGTCTTAGCCAACAAATCTAAGAAATGCAGATTAGTTTGTTATAGTATAAATATTGTCAAATATAAAATTCCAAGAAACTACCTTGGGACTGATCTAATTTTCTGGTAAAGTCTATCTGAAAACTAGGAAAAGGCATAGTCCAGAAGTCTATTTTAAGCTAACACAGTTATTATTGCTTCTGCCAAAGCACAAGTGGAGATTCTGCTGAGCTGGTAAGAATATCAGTAAAAAGGCCTCTTAGCAACAAGAGGGCTGGGCTAGGCCTTCCCCCTGTTTGAAAAAGAAGGGCAGCCAGAAAGCCAGGGCCTGGCTCTCTGCACCTGGGGTCAACATGGCGTCTCTTACACTTGGCAGAGAGCGAAGGACGTGGGCTCTGAGGGAAAGGGGCATGGTGGGCTAGGGAGCATAGGTGAGCTGGGCTCTGTCTGTCACTACTTAAAGTCTTTGGGGGTTTGGTTTCAACATGGATGAAAGGAGGAGGGATGGGATAAACTAATTTAGAAATGTCAGAGCTGCTAAAATTGGTGGTATCATAAGTGTAAAAGGCATATAGCAAGTAAATTTGGGTAATAAGAAAAAATCCAGATCTAAGGTGTGAGTTCAATCTTTCAAAACCCTTTAGCTTAACAAAGTGACCACCATAAATGGGGAAAATCTCCAAACAGGGCAGAACCCAAGGAATTCCAAAGGACCCTGCCATAATTTGCCAAAGGCATTCCTGATTGGGGGTTTATGTCTCAGCAGAATTGTAGGCAAGTGACCCCAGAAGCCTGCATGGGCTTCTTTCTGGGGGTTTCCATTTTTATCTCTCAAGCTTTTAAGATGCCAAAAGGGAAAGCTTTCAGGAAGAGGCTAAGGATAACTTCATTATTCTTCAGTTCTGTAAAGAGAAATAGGGAGAAAAAGATATGCATTTTACTCATTTCATCTTACAAGTACCAGGGAAAGGGGGACAGAGGGACAAGGAAGGAGAATGTTTGGAATTGCAGAAGGCGTGTTAGACGCTGGTTTCTCAAACACCTGGCACTTTGCTTCTCATCAGTTGCAGCAAGATAGTCTGCAAGGTGGCCAGAGCTGGCAGAGCCCCCGTGGGTCCCCGAGAGAGCATGTTCTGCCTTTGCAAAGCCTAGAAAGCAGCTTGCTGATCTTTGTATGGATAAGTGACCACCTTCCTATCACCCTAGGGGATATCTTCCTGATAGCCACTGACTGTGTTTTGTTCTTTCTTGGCCTGTTGGCACCCTAGGAAGTGCTTCCCCAGCAGGGCCACTTGGGAATGAGTTCACAGAGCATCTGCAAGGGATCTGATTATGTGCCTTTGGCACCATCTCCTGGTGATCGGAGTCTGTGCATCTCAGGTGGAAGTTGAAATTCACTCTTGAAATCCAAGTCTGTCCTTGGTCTCCTAGATGCTCCCAGGCACAAGAATCACAGTCCCACAGCCCTGGTTCCCCCACCACCTCTTCCACATCCCCACTATGTCACATGATACCCCTCCTGTCCGTTTCCAGAGGATTCAGGACAGTCCTGCAGACTTTCAGATGCAGGAGCATGGGGCCTGGGCCCATCTGTCAGTGCCAGCACCCTGAGTGCCTAGAACGTATGATCTGGGTTCCACTTTTCCCCAGGACTAGCAGGTGGGAAGAACTGAGAAAGAGCCGACAGCCGCGCTTGGTCTTTTTCCTGCCAAGTTACAAAGCCAGCCAAGCCCTGTGCTTCACCAGCTCTGGGGGTGAGGAGGAGGCCTCTTGCCCTGGGGAGCTGTCACCAGCCTGCAAGCCAACCTTCCCTCCCAGCCACACTCTGAGCTGGAGGTGGCACCTCCCAGGGAAGCTGTGGCTGGAACCAAGGAACACCCCCAGAGGCAGAGCCAAAGCCAGGAGAGCATGAGTATGTCCCACCCAGAGGGGACTGGAGATGAGCAGACAGGACAACAGGGTCTAAGTCGAAGCCACTCTGGATTTACAGACCCGACCACTGGCTGGCCCCTGGGTAGAGGGCATTTTATTTGTGAGCAGTTTCAAGGGCACAGATGTCCAAGTAAGTGTCTGAGAACTCTCTTGGGCCCTCCTGCTCCTTGTCCTACTTGCCATGTCCTGAAATCCCGTGAGCAAGCCAGAACCAGGGGAATGCCAGAAACAGGACCCCATACAGATTTAGGCTCTAGGTGCAGATATGGCAGCTGAGGTGAGGCAACTGAAGTCAGGGAGCTGCAGCATTTGCCTGTTAGCCAGCTGCCCCTCTGCTGGGCACCCCGAGTGCCTAGAACATAATCAGAAGGAGGCACAGAGTCTGGTAGAGAAGAATTTGACAGGCGAGGAGAGCATCCTGCTGGCCAGCCTTGGTCTCAGCAGTTTGCCGATAGCATGAGTGTTATATTTCCTAGGACAATTCCAGGGCAGTTCCTTTGACTCGGCTGCCCCCAGGACTGTCTAGCAGCCACCAGCTCCCTCACCCCATGGGAGGTATCGTGCTGAAGATGAAAAGACAGAGCCAAACTGACCAGCCTCTGCAACCCCAAGCATCACCATGTGCGGAGCTGAAGTGGTGGGTGGCCCCAAGGGGGCCTGGACAGCTGCGCACTGGGACCACATGCAGGGAGCAAGCGGATGCTGCAGGCATGCGAGCTGCAGGAGGCATGCGGGCAGAGGTGGGAATGGGACGAACAGGACCTCCAGCTCGCCAGGACCTCCGCCAGCCCCTCCTCAACCCGGGCACAAAGTGGCGGCTGCAGTTGTGCAGATGAGGAGCCAGGGACCCTCCCTCAGCCCACGAGCAGCTCCTTGGCACAATGTCAACCCACAGAATAGCTGAGTCTGAATTGCGGAAAGCCCTGTTGGGAAATGGTTGGGGTGGGGGGGGGGCTGCTCTCTTTGAAAATAATTCAGAGATAATTCTCTCTCTGATTCTGAGGCCCCAGCTCCAAACACGGTGGCAGTGGCAGCCTGGCCCTGCCTGAGGCCTGTGGCCCACTCACTGAGCTCATGTGCCCACTGAGCATTGACCCGAGCACAGGCTACAGCTGTGGCTTTGTCTGTGGCATCCACAGAGGTCTTCAAGAGTGGCAGGGGTTTTGAGCCCTCTCTTCCTGGGCCATGGGCTTCTCAGCTCTGCAAAGGAGAGCTCCAAAGCAGCTGCAGACCACGGAAAACACGTGGACACTGGGCGTGCGTTGACAGGGAGTGGCCAGCTGCAGCCCTGGCTTTGAGGAGCACAGGCAAATCTGTGCATGTCCAACCAGCCTCAGGGTTCGCCTGAACCACGACCCACGTCCCATAGCCACCAAGATCTCAACCTCACCAGGAGCATTAGGACCCCAATCAGCTGGCTCCTGGCCCCTCTGGGACTTAATTGGCCTCCAGAAACTTCTGCCCCTGGGAAAGGGGCCTTCTGTGCCTGCAGTTGCTTGGACAAGACAAGAAGGAGGGCTCAGGGGGACAGGAAGGCGTCACTCAGTTATGAGGCAGCAGGGAGGGGGCTCAGACCAGTCAGTGGTGTTGGGGACACATCAGCAGACAGTGTGAGGGAGGCACCTAGTCTATGAAGTCATTCTCCTTACCAAAAGGATTTGCAAGAATATTTGTGGCTCAGGACCTAGGGAACTTGCTACAGGGAAGTGAGGTCAGAGGTCAGCTCAATCCTGAAATATAAAGGCAGCAACGGGGTCAAGGGGCAGTCCTCAGTGCCCAAGGAGGAGTGGGGGCTCCCAGGTGGCTCTCCCTCCCTCTTCCTCTCAGGTGGCCCTGGCTCCCAGGCTCCCAGCGTTGGGGCCTTCCTGCCCAAGTGGGAGAGCAAACCTGATGCTGGTGGATGCCGGGCCCAGGAGCAGCCAGAGAGGGCGGAGGATTCTGCTAGTTATGCTCACCAGAGGGCCCGGTCCCCAGCAGTCCCCAGGCTCATAAAAGAAGCAGCTCATTAACCAAAGGCGCCCTGCACACAGGTGGCCGGTGGCAGGATGGCGTGGCCGGAAAGCGGTGAGGGAAGCCCAGCGGGCGCAGGGAGTCCGGCTGGTGGGGGTGCAGCAGCCCAATTCCAGAAACAAGCGGCCCAGCCGCCTCCCTCAGCCGCATGCAGCAGAGCAGAGGAGGGGCACCAAGAAGCCGACCTCGGTGATGAATCGCTTTTGTCGTGGACTCGAGTTAGGGACAGCTGGGCATGCTCTGGGCACTTTCCTGACACCTCATTTGTTTTTTCATGTGGTGGTGGGGAAGGAAGGACAGAAGCCAAGGGGCTCCAGCCCTCCCCTTCCCACCAGGCTGAAAACCACCAAGACAGAAAAGAACCCCAGACTAAGAGGGGAGGGGCTCCGCGGGGGCGTGGCTCGGAGGCTGCGCCCTCCGGGTGCCCAGGAGCCTCCCCAGGGCAAGCTGAGCCGCGCCGGGAGGGGCCCTCGCCTACCGCTGCTCCTCCTCCAGCTCTTCTTTGGTCATCATCTTCTTATACTGGTTTCCTCTCAGCTGCCCAGGGCTGTACTTAAAGGAGAAGGTCTCTCCTGTGGGGATGAGGGGCACTGATGAGAGCCTGGTGGGTCGTAGGAGGGCCCCAGCCCAGGTTGTTTCCCCGCCTTTATTAGTTTGAAAAGCAACACTTCGGTCAGAGAAGCCCCGTTCAAGAGGGGCAGCATGCACAAGCCCCATCCAGCCCAGTCTCAGGGTGGACACTCAGCAACACTGACCTCTCGCCCCAGCACCCACACCTAAGCCCATCCCACTCCTCCATGAAATCCTCACATCTCGCCCTGGAAATGGGGACAAGATGGAAACAGAACAGCCAGAGAGAAACTGCCCTCCCCACCTGGGGTGGCATTTCCCCCCAGGCCGGTGGAGCCAGCCACTGAGCCGTGTCTGTCCCTCTCTGGTGAACAGTTCCTGCCAAGCCGCCCACTGCGAGGCTTCCCTTCAACCTCATCTCCACGCCCAGGGCCGCTGCCCAGCCATCAGGCAGCAGCCGTTGACAGGCGGCCATGGCTCACATCAGGAAGCAGCGGTGCCAGGTGGGCCACGGGGACCTGCCCCCCTGGGCTTGGGAGTGCCAGCCAAGCACGTTCTCCCATCCCTCCCCCACGGTTATTAGAGACCTAGAAACACAACTGGCCCACGTGGCGGTGATGTGGGGGCAGCTGTGTCTGGAAGGGCACAGCAGCAGCGCCCCACCTGCAGACAAGGGCAGCCATCCAGGTCTGGGAGCACAGGGGTCTGGACATGTGACATGGGGTGAAGGCAGGCTAGAGGAAGTGAGGGTGCAGCAAGAGAGGAAAGCTAAGTATCCTATGAAGGGAGCTGCCTGGACCCCAGACTGACTGGAGAGCTGGGGTGGCCCGTGGCTGTCACCTCTAATTTCCATCAACATATAAAGGACTGGGTGGGGGAGCAGCTCCAGAGGCTTCTCTTCCCAGCTGCTACTCTACAAGTGTGTCCCGCTGTCCCTGCAATGTCAGGTGGTTCCTCTTCTGTCCCACAGCAGGACAACCCAGGTCACTGCTGTCTCTTCCCAGTGGTGGCCGGCATATGTCAGCAGGTGGGTTGATGTGGGCGCAAGGGAAGGAAAGGCTCTCGGACTAGGGCTCCTCCCTCTGGGCGGAGAGAAGAAAGTTCTGGATGTCGGTCCAGGACCTGAGACTCTGCAGGGGCTATTTCCTTCATCAAACCCTGGCCCAGGAGGAGAAGGCTGGGGGCTCCTGTGGGATACCCCTGCCCCCGCTGGCTGCTTTCCTCAGGGAGCAGTCACTTCATGTGCACAAGGATTACTTTGCTCTTCACTCAGTCCACAAATACTCAAAGTGCACAATTCCAGGTGCTGGGGAGACCGCAGAGACGAGAACACCCAGCAAACAAATATATGTAATTAAAAGACATGATTTAGCTGGACGCCAAGGCCCACACCTGTGATCCCAGCAGCTCGGGAGGCCGAGGCAGGAGGGTCATGAGTTCAAAGCCAGCCTCAGCAACTCAGCAAGGCCCTAAGCAACTCTGTGAGACCCCGTCTTGAAATAAAAAATAAAAGGGCTGGGGGTGTGGCTCAGTAGTTAAGCAGCCCTGGGTTCAACCCCTGGACTAAAACAAATTTTTTGCAGTTGGTCCCAAATGCTCTGCAGAGGACAACATAGGTGGGGAGGGCTAATCAGGTGAGGCTGGGGGAGGGAGCTGGGGGTGTGTGGTGGAGACGGCCCAGCCAAGTGTGCCTGGAGGACCTGACAAAGCATGGTGGCAGGAGCAAAAGGAGGGGGGGTGGGGACGACACGGGAGGCTGTGTGTGTGGGAGAGGCAAGGAGGTGGGGTGAGCTGGGCCAGGTTTCCGGGGAACCCTGTGGACTGAGCAGAGAGGGCAGGCCGCCCTGCCTCCTGCCCATCAGCTGGCTCTCTCCTAGGGCTCTGCTTGCCCACAGAAGGTACCGAGCATCAGAAGCCTCCGGGGTCCCTGGAATCAGGAGCTTCTTGAGGCCAGAGTTTGGAGATTAGCCCTGATTAGCCCTCCCCACCTATGAGGCCAGGGATCTAGAAGCCACCCTGAGCCACTGCAACCATCCTGAAGGAGCAAGGGGCCTGGGTCCCTGGTTATCCCCCAAAGCCTGTATGTCCTGTGGCCCTTGTGACAGCAGCTGCAGCTGCAGACAGAACTTGCCACCAACCCTCAGTGTGAACCCAGAAGAGGCGACTGACAAAACCAGTGAACCCCAACACAACTGCGTTGCTGTTTTAGAAAACCGAAACGCGAGGCAGCTGCCGGCCTGGCGCTCCTGTAGGGTCGGCTGGCCTTGCTGGCAGGTCTGATTGGCTCCACTTTTACTCAGCCACACAGAACAATCGACTTGAAATCACAAAAAGGGACAAGCCACACACAGCTGCATCTGATTCGGTGAGATCAGGAGGGCTGGATGTGGAAGGCCCCAGGGAGCCGGGGGGGGGGGGGGGGGCTGTCTTCCAGTCTGTTTGAATCTCTGAGTTGCTTAGGAAGCCACTTTAGCGACACTAACCAATCAGCCCGGGAGCTGAGCTGCTGGCTGCAGAGGGGCTGGGTGTCCACCCGAGCTTCCTGACAGCGGGCAGCCAGCCCCCCTCCCTCTGCTTCGTTAGAGACGGCAGGAAGCCATGGGGACAGGGGCTAGCCAGGGACAGCAGCGCAGATAAGGAGGGAGGGCTCGGGGACAAGTACGGTGAGCTTGTGTGTGAGGTGGCCTGCCAGGCCTCCCCCTGTGCACACCCAAGGGCCTGTGTCCCCAAATCACTAACAATCCTGGTCCCACACGGAGAGCCCCAGTTGCAGCGAGTCCCTGATTGGAGATGATACAGAAGAACCCACATCCGAGAAGGAGGTCCCCCGCCCACTGCCAGATGCTCACTGAGCCCCACATTCCTGAACCCCCTCTTTCCACCACTCCCACTAGTGGGGGAGACACAGCCAGTTTCACTGTTTAAAATTATAAAATATGGAAAACAGAAAAGCCACAGGGCCTCGGGGCTCCTGCTCGCTGTGCAGGTGTAGCAAGTGCTGACATTTTGCTGTCTGTGCTCAGCTTCTTTTGGAAAGAAACGCAATGTGGCAGATCAGCAGGGGCCCCACGCACTTGGTTCTGACTGTCCACGGCAGGGAATGGCATGGCTAGGAGGCCAGGGAGCCCAGCCACTAAGAGGCGGGGTGATCCCTCCCGTGCCTTCTGTCTGCAGAAGGGCGGCCTGTGAGTGGTTTCTGTCTTGACAACATGGGTCAGAGATATTTGGAGAGAAAGGGGACATACTGAGCCTGCTCGTGAGAGGCAGGGGAGATGGTAGAGGCTTGCCAGGCTGTGCAAGGTCCTGGGTTCCATCCCCAACACCAAAAACAAAACCAAACAAAAAAGCAATATAGAGTCAGCTGGGTGAGGTGGTACACACCTGAAATCCCAGTGGCTCTGGAGGCTGAGGCAGGAGGATCACAAGTTTGAGGCCAGCCTCAGCAATTTAGCAGGGCGGTAAGCAACTTATTGAGACACCCGTCTCAAAAAATAAAAAGGGCTGGGGATGTGGCTCAGTGGTAAAGCGCCCTGGGGTTCAGTCCCCAGTGCTAAGAACAAAAACAGGCAGGACAGAAGCCAGGGCCTCCTGGACCCACACACACTCATATTATAGACAGAAAGCTCCGGGAGGTGGCAGCAGAGGGGGCAGGGCTTTGGCCAGACCATCATTCCCAGGCACCCCCTCCTCAGACCTCCAGCGCTGGGTACCCCCAGCACGGCTTGGTCCTAATCGGGCCCTGCAGGAGGGGCAGAGACTGCAGCTCAAGGGAGTCCCACTCACCGTCCTCGTCCTCAGGCCCTGCTGGGGGAGGGTCCTTCTCACTGTCGGAGTCCTGTTCCTCCTCCTGCAAGACAAGGGCAGGGGTCAGTGCCACAGGCAGAGAAGGGGCTATGGCCAGCTCTTGGGGTGTGTGAACACTCTAGAGTGTGAACTGGTGGATGGGGCCAGATGGCCGCCTTGGGAAATGGTGGCAGTGGGTGGACAGAAGATAGGGGAAGGGGCTCTAGGTCCAGTGTAACCAGGTCCAGCAGTCGCGCCTATCCTGCAGCCAGGTCCCCTGAGCCCAGGAACAGGGCTCCTTTAACCTGTGCACCTCAGGCCCTTGACCTTCCCCAGGTGCTTGTCTGGGAATTCGGAGGCCATTTTGCTGAGTGGGCCTGGGACCCCCCATCCCCCATGGCAGTGAGCAAATTAGAGGCACAAGAGCAACGCTGGCCAGGCCAGGGCAGGGCCTTGGCGCAGCTGCCTGGGAAATCGCAGGCCCCGCCCTCCAGGCCACCTTCTGGGCCTGGCCATCTCCATGTCCACTTTCCCAAAAGTGGAGCTCCGCCTCCTCAGCTCCGGGTCTCTCCCACACAGAGAAGGCCGGAGGCATGTCCGGGGCGGTCTCTGTGGGAGGAAGGAGTGACTTCAACTTGCAGGAATGTTGGAGGATGACAGGGACATACCATGGGCCAGGGGGCAGGAGGGACCTGGAAGCCCAGAGGGCGAATGTGGAACAGCACAGGTCTGAGAGCACAGTGGACAGGCATGAGCTGCCCAGCAATGAAGAGCAGGCTGCAGCCCCGGGGGAGACACCCCCAAAACACAGCTGAGCTGGGGGGCAAGCTTTCACAGGCCCCTGGTGGTCAGAAGTGGCCAGCACCAGGGCCTGAGCGCCTGCCTGGGGGTACTGTCTCTTCCCACTCAGCAGTGTGCACAGGGCCACCTAGGTGCCACCAGGCTGCCCCCTGCACAGGTAGGGACGTGTCCAGGCTGTCCAAAGACCTCCTGAACTCTGCAAAGGGAGTGTCTTCGTGGCTGGGGTTAGGTAGGCAGGCCTCTCCAGGTGCCAGGAATGGGAACCCCCCTGGATGCAGCACCCCATTTCTAAGGGTCTGCCCTCTGGACGGGACTTCTATCCCGCGATGCCGTGCCCAGCAAAACAAGCCATAGCCGGAGAGAGCAACGGTTCACCCACTGAGTCTAGCTGGGTGAGCTGGTGCCCGTGGTCACCAGATGCTAACTGTTCCCTGTCTTGCAGGGCATGTGGGCCCGGGGCACTGACAGCACTCCCGGAGAACAGCGTGCTAGGGAGAGAGCAAGCAGTAGTGCCCGGCCAGCAGCCCTCGGGCGTGTGTTAGGGTGCTGGTGATCCTAAGTGCAGAGGGGGAGCTTCTGGAAACAGCCGTCAGCTCAGGGAGCAGACCTGGGGAGGGCTGCCTTCCTTTCAACCTTTACATTTCAGAATAATTTGAATTTTCTAATTATGTGCATGAGTTACTCCGTGTATTTTAACAATGCTAATGGGGTCTCTGGGCAGCGAGATTGGGGCTATTTTTTTATATACCTATCTTTTCCAACAGAGCAGGCAGGGATACGACTGTAACATGATAAAAAGCAGGTTTGCTCTGTGCCCCAGCTCCTGACACAGTGCTCCGAAACCCTGACGACCTTCTGAGTAACAGAAGTAGAGCTCTGTCCTAACGTTGGGTCTTTGGCCCCATCTCCTGACGCAGTGCCCTACATCCCTGGGAGTACCCTAGACACCGAGCACCTTCTGCTCTACTGAGTTAGCTCTTGGTGGCCCCTGGACGGGACTGCTCTCCAGGAAGACTGAGCCACAATGGGACACTTGGAGCCCTCGGCCCCCACTTTTCCTGAGGCAGGTGGAGGCAGCGATGGGCCTTGCCTGTGTAGGGAGAGCAAAGTCCCTAACGTCTGGGGCATTCTGGGCTCCTGGACGTCCACGGTGGGGAGGAAGGCACGGCCCAGCTCCACAGGGACAGGGCTGCTGTGCTCGGCACCTTTGGGACCTCAACCTCTGTGCCTCCTTCTGGCGGTTCATCTGTCACTGTACCTTTATCGTAAACCCATCAACGTGAGGTGCTTCCCAGAGGCTGTGCCCACCTCGGCAGACCATCCACCCCAAGGAGGGGGTCTCGGATGCCCTGATTTACAGCCAAGTTGGAGGAAGTGTGGGTTTCCTACTTGTGACTTGAAGGTCTGAGGCCACCTGCAGGGTCTGCCCAACCCCACATAGAGAGTGCCGAGAGCTTAACTGTAGGATGTCCAGTTGGTGCCAGACAGTTGGAGAAGCGGCTGTCACAGGCCAAGTGCCTGAGAAGTGCTGCGTGAGCACAAGGAAGGCAGCTGTCCCCCAACACTGACACAAAGCCTTCTTTTTTTTTGGGGGGTGGGGGGGCTACTGGGGATTGAACTCAGGGGCACTGGGACACCAAGCCACATCCCCAGCCCTATAATGTATTTTATTTAGACGCAGATCCCTCCTGTCTCAGCCTCCCTAGCCGCTGGGATTACAGGCGTGTGTCCCCACTCCCAGTCTTGGATGCCTTCTTTAATGACAGACAGACGTCACCCTAGTTGGGGAGGGCCCCAGAAGGAGAATAGAGAGGCCAATTCTCCTAATAGGTGCCAGGGACACAAAAATGAAAAGAAAAAGAAAGAATGAGCACAGGTCCTGTCCTTAAGGTGCTCTGGGCCCACGTGAAGACGCAGCTGAAGCCTGACAATGATCCCAAAGGACCTGGGGGGTGCTGCCTTCCGTCCTGCAGTGACGGGTGTTTTGGGAGGGTCAGCAAACAGCACTCTTTGGAGCACCCTAGGGCCTCATAGAAGAGCCAGGCTCTGCACTCCAGCACTTACCTAGGCTTTTAGAGAACACAGAAACAGTGATAGGGTTCCTCTTGTGCATGTGTGCAGTGCTAGCGATGGTGCCCAGGGCCTCAGGCATGCTGAGCGCGTGCCCTACCACCGGGCTACACCCCCAGTTCCCCTTATTCTTTTTCACAAAGCAAAACACCCCTCCCTATTGCATCTGGCTCTTATTTTATAAAAATGTGTGCACAGCAGAAAAATGGAAGGCTGACCCCAGAAAAAAGAAGTGGAGGTTTCAGAAGCAGCACAGTTGAGACCAAGATGAAGACCGCTCAGGAAGAGGGCGCATTAGCCTCGGGCCAGAGCTGTGTGCTGTGACGGGGACAGGGCTAGAGTGTGCCGTCTGAGGGAGGCCCAAGCAGCAGTTCCTGGGGACTACACTCTCTCCTTCCTTACAGAAGGTCCCGGGGCACGCTGAGTTTTGCAGACTGTGTTCAGGACTCTGCGAGGCATTGAGGTGACACTCTGGGGCCTGAAGGAAGGGGCTCAGCTGGGCCTGCAGAGAGCAGGGACAGTCTCAGAGGCGGCGGCACTCTGATAGGGTCTGAGACAGGGGTGCTGACAGCTGTCGTGGGAAGGGGACTCTGGGCAGAGGGCACAGCCAGGCAAAGGCCTGGAGGCCCAGAGTCCAGAGTTTTCCAGCTACTGCATGAGCCTGGCATGACTGCAGGGCGGTGTGTGGCACGAAATGGTCAGAAACCAGGGGACAGAAATGCGGGGCTTGCACCACAGAGTTCTAAGGTGGCACAGAAAAGGGTTCAGGTTTCTTCCTTCAGGAAGCCCGGAGCCTCCCTTCAACAGGGAGAAGCAGGAGGAGAGTTGCGTTTGGAGCCATGTGCGGGGGGGGGGGGGGCAAGATGAGGGCAGGAGGAGCCAGAAGAGGCTCCTAGCTGGGGCTGAGACAGGCTGCCCAGCCTTCAGCTCCTCGTCTGGTATCAGAGCGGGATGGCCGCAGCAGGAGAGCCCCAGGTGCCTCTGGGTCTGAGGCACAGGCATCTCCTGGAGGCAGCAGGATCTCTGGGAGAGGTCACTCTGGGGCCTTCAAGGAAGCAGGAGGGAGCAGCTGCTCAGGTGCTAATTGTGAAGCTCTCAAAAGGCACTCGTTCTTTTTTTTTGAGATGGGGTCTCGCTGTGTCACCCAGGCTGGCTTTTAACTCCTGGACTCCCACCTCCTGAGTACCTGGGGCTACAGATGTGGACCACTCTGCCAGCTCCCAGCAGTTGACTTCTCCTCGATGCCCTAAGATTGTTGCCCATGTGTCATGGGCTGAACTGTGCCCCCCCTCACCCCCATTCATATATCAAAGCTTAACCCCAAGTACCTCAGCCTGACAGCAGAGCTGGCCCTCAATCTGCAGGGCCCATCTACCAATTCAATCAACTGTGGATAAAAAATATTTGGGGAAAAATTTGATGGTATTGGACACATATGGAGGTTATTCACTAAATAATAAGTGTAACAACTATTTACACAACATTTACATTGCATTAGGGATTATAAATCATCCAGAGCCAGGTGCAGAGACCCATGCTTGTGGTCCCAGCCTCTCTAGAGGCTAAGGCAGGAGGATCACAAGTTCAAGGTCAGCCTTGGCAGCTTAGTGAGACCCTGTTTCAGAATAAAAAATTTAAAAAGGGTGGGAATGTAGCTCAGAGGTGGAACAAGCCAGGATTCGATCCCCTATACCACAAGAAAATGAATTAATTGCCAAAATAAAATCATTTTTAAAAAGGGCTGGGGATGGTTCCATGGCTAAGAGTCCCCGGGTTCAATCTCTGGCACTAAAAAAAATTAAAAAAAAATCTATAGATGACCTAAAATAGACAGGAAGAGGTTTGCAGGACATATGCAAGTACTATGCCATTGATATAAGTGACTTGAGCATCTGCAGATATTAGTGTGGGCCAGGCCCAGCACAATCCCCCGGAGACACTGAAGGATGCATTTAGGGACAGGCCCTTTAACAAGTGATGAAATGAGGCCACTAGGGGGTCCCTAATCCAGGAGTGCTGTCCTTATAGGAGGAAATCTGAACAGGGAGAGAAACCAGGAATGTGCACAGACAAAAGACCATGTGAGAACACGGGTGGGGGGTGTGAGGGAAGAGAGGAAGGAGCTATCCGGAAGCCAAGCAGAGGCCTCAGGAGGAACCAGCTGTCCGCACCTTGAACTTGCACTTCCGTGCT